TCACGTTCAAGTCTTTAATACACTTATGGTATATATGTATTGATATTCAATTTTATATTTTAATAATGAAGATTTGCATTTATGGGTGGAGTTTAATAATAATAAGAAGAAGAAGGAATCATCTTAAATGCGATGAATGATGGTAAATTATCATTAGGACCATATTTCTATCAGTCAACTAACAGAATTTTTAGATCAAAGTACCTATGAGGTCCATGTACTATAGTGTTTTGTTCAATTTAGTCCCTACTTCTACCTTAATTTTGTTCAGTTTAGTCCCTGTACTTTGAAAAGTGAAACAATTAATGACAATAGTTGATGTGACGCTGACATTATCTCTATCACGTCATCATACTTACATGCTAACTCATATATTATTTTATAAATATTTAAAATTAATTATTTTTACCACCAATATATTACATTAATATGTCACAAATAAATACATAAATATTTGCTCACATATGCTGTTGTCCTTAATTGTTTCAATTTTTAAAGTGTAGGTACTAAATTGAACAAAATTAAAATAGAATGACTAAATTGAACAAAACAATATAATACAAGGACCTCATAGGTACTTTGACCGAATTTTTATCAAATGATTAAGTTGTGTAAAATTATCAAAGTTAATGACTAAATTGAGCATAAAAAGTCAATTAGGACTAAATTAAGTAAAACTGCTATAGTCAGGACTATATTGGGTATTAAGTTATTAATAACTCGTTTAGGATTTCCTCTCCAAGATTGTTGATGTTAAAGGCTATGTGATGCGGCAAATTATGCTGTGCATCCGTATGCACCATGCATGGTGCATACAGATGCAAAAACGACGTCGTTTTGTATCAAAACTCGCGTCCTACTTAATAAAAATCAAATTCGATTCTCAGTAACAACATTATGTTATTCATTTTTTAGTTCATTCATTTTGGATTTTTAGTTATGAAATTCTGGATGTATAGTTATGCAATTCTGGATGTGTAGTTATGAAGTTATGGATGTGTAGTTATGCAATTCTAGATTTATAGTTATAAAGTTATGGATGTGTAGTTATGCGATTCTGGATGTATAGTTATAAAGTTATGGATGTGTAGTTATGCAATTATGGATTTAGGGGGCGTTTGGTTCAGGTTATATAACATAACCAAGGGAATGTGACATTCCAAAGCTCACATTCCTATGTTTGGTTCACATTAACTCAGGGAATCTAACATTCCCCAGGAATGTCACATTCCCTCCACATAGGATTTTGAAGGGAATGTGATTCCCTTCAATTTCTAAGGTTATGTAAGATAACCTTGGTTATGTTAGTTTATCTCACACACACACACACACACATACACACACACACACACACACATACACACACACACACACACACACACACACATATATATATATATATATATATATATATATATATATATATATATATATATATATATATATATATATATATATATATATATATAATTATTTTTGTAATTATATATTTTTTATTTTTATTATGTTAGGTTAGCATATAAAATAATTTTGTTTTTCAAGTTCAATATTTTAGTTAATATTTTAAAATCATGTAATTATATATGATACCGTTATCTTATTTATTTATTTTTAATTTTTAAATTTATTAAAATATATGAAAATATGTTAAGGATATTATAGTGTGTGAACCTTAAACCAAACATGATTATATTACATACCCCAATTTTAACCAAACACAGGAATCTCACATTCTCAGTAATCTCACATTCCGAGTAATCTAACATTCCCTAAGGTAATCTGACATTCCGTGAACCAAACGACCCCTTATAGTTATGAAATTATGGATGTGCAGTTATGTAATTCTGGATGTATAGTTATGAAATTATGAATGAAATTATGGATATGTAGTTATGCAATTTTGATTTTATTTTTTTTAAGTTAGACGTCAAAATGACGTCGTTTTTACATCCGTATGCACCATGCAGATGCATAGCATATGATGTGATGCATTGAGGGCTATTAAGTAGACTAGATTTTCAAAAAATGAATAAAAATTACCCCGAATGAAAAGAAAAGTGAATTATGATAAATATGAAGTGATAGGAGAAAATGTTTTATTATTATTTATTAGTTTATTAAAAAAAAAAAAAAACATGCGTGGCATCATGCACTTTATTTATTTCTAGGAATTAAAATGAACTCGTTTTCTGATCTTAATCTTTTATAAAACTAGCAGCTACCCTTTTTTTAAAAAAATTTTATCAACTATACTTCTACCTAGTAATTTACCCTTTCTATAAATTATAGCTTTCATATGGTTATTATGAAATCATAAACATGGTTAGGTGAACATTAAGTTCCTGTTTGATAACATAGTTAGCTTATCAGCTAGTTTTAACTTATTTAATTTGATCATTATTAACTGTTTGACTTGGTTAAACTAACAATCAATATGAGTGTTTAATTTGATTAATTAATTTTTTTGTAATAACTTATTGTTCTAAAATGCTAAAATTCAAAAAGCTGCTCAAAAAAGTTTTTTTTTATCAACTTTTTGATAAAATCATTTTGCATGTAATCAGCTATCAGTTAATTTACCAAACACTTTTCTACAATCAACTAATGTTATCAATTAGTTAAACCCACTCTAATCAGCTACTAACTATTTACCAAATACCTCCAAAAATTTGTTGACACATAACAAATGCTATCAATAATAATTTTTTAAAAAATTGAGTTGTTTTTTTTTTTTTTTAATGTTTGAAATATTATATTATAATTTAATTATGTTATCTTATAAAATTAAAAATTAGCATTTGATTCGTATTTAATCCGTCAAATATTATGTTATTAACAAATTATGTTGAATAAGACCAGTAGTGAATATGGAAGAGATTTGTTTAATAATCGACCTTTAATAGATTATAGAAGAATTCGTCGTAAACCTATTTCGCCTTAATTAATAATAATTAAATTAAATGATTAATTCTAGGATAACATTGGCAATTAATTCATCCATCCCTCTCATATTTATGGCACTTGAAGAGGAATTTTAAGTTGCCCCCTACATGGGAAACTTGCATGGCAGCTTTATATATATGAGCATTTAATATATCCACTTTAGTTGCTTCAATATATTCTCATATGCATCCATGTACTTAGGAATGCCAATTGAGCCACCTCATTTGGTTTTGAACTGTTTAGTTTATCCGTTTAAACATATTTAAAATTTTTTGGTGTATTTAAAATTATTGGTACTAATATTAAAATCTCAGGTTTTTGTGTAAGTAAACTCAACTAAAAATTTTTTACATTATAAAATTAACATGATAAACTTTCAATTTTAATAATCTAACACAATTGCATTCATAAATATAAACTTATATATCATTCAATCAATCAATCTAAATCTCCATTTTTCAAATTTGAACTAAAAACAATTAATATATTTACACTATTATATAATAATTATAGTAATGTGTTATTTTTTATTATTTATTTTCATAAAAAATTATTTTGAAATAAATTTATTATGATTTTATTTACAAATTTAATAAAAAATTTGAATATGATCTTACCTATAAACTCCTTTTATATTTTGTTCCACGTTAATTATTAAACAAAGAATAGTTGCCTTAAATGGTTGGGCTATTGGACCAGCACATTCAAGACATCAAGCAAATTCTTGTCAAGATGAATATTTTAGACCCTGACCTTAAAAGTTTTTGATCTTATGGGATCAATTCATAAATTTTAGATTAAGATTGGCGTCCCTACATATAATTGGGAAATTAATTTATTCATTCAATTCCCAACTATATCTATGTATTTAGTTTTTTTTTTTTTTAGATGAAAATAAACAATGGTTGTTTTAAGTGACTCGGGTCATGCTTTCAAAAAAAAAAAAAAAAAAAAAAAAGTGACTCCGGTCATTGAACTACCCCATTTAGTACATCAGGTTGATTTTTTATTGAGATAAAATTATTTTGACCGTAACTTTATAATTTTTCATTTTATTGAGTCAATTGATCATAAATTTTGGAGTAAAATTAACAATAATAATAGAAGATTAACACATTATGATCCAAGTCGAGATCAATTACATTATTTGAAGAAGCTAAATAATAATGCATAGTAGGCATAGCTTTTGTATGGAATTTAATTAATAGTAAACGTAGAAATCGACTTAAATGTGTATAAGCAAAGTCAAGATCAATTACATTATTAGGAGAAGCTAGAATAATAATGCATAGTAGGCCTAGCTTTTGTATGGAATTTATATATAGTAAACTTAACCATCGACTTATATGTGTATAAGCAAATAACCGTCTATATATATACACACACATATATACCCATAATTCGTTTAAATGCATTATCAATCAAAAGTCGTAATCTAGGATTCTGTTGAAGAATTAATTTGTTTGTACATTTTTCGTAATAATTTACGACTTAAGTGTTACAAACTCATCAATAATAAGTAAGTGTTCATTCAATTCGCTTATTAATTTGAATTAAGTAGATCAACTTTACTTCCATCATATCATTTACAAAATTAAATTACATCGGATTTTTTTAAAAAAAGTTAATTATTATTTATGTTTGTCGGACACAGTAACTAACTCTTGACCTTTGATTAAAGGTGAATAAGTCTCTTCTACTGAATCACACCCTACAGGTTAAATTTCCATATAGTTAAGTAAGTATTTACCTATTATAAAGACTTGCCACACATGGGAACTTACGGGGCAAGTTGTAATTTACCATTGAGTAAAAAGTATGGTAGGTAGTGAAGAAATTAAACATGCAGCCATGCATCCTTCAGCTTCAAATCCTTGTACAGTGTGCTGTGTGAATTGTACGTTGGTAGTTGGAGGCGGGTGAAATTAATATAATGGTTGTCCGTCCTAGGCTCCTAGCTAGCTATGATCTATTAATAGAAGCCATCATGTAGTGTTAGTTCACTTCATATCTCTGATCTTAATAGAGCTGCCTTTCCCCTACTTTCTCTTCATCACATTTTCTTGGAATCGAAAATGGAGTTCAAACTTGCCATGATCCTCTTATTAATTTTATCTTGCACTCGTTTGTTTTCCGCCACTACAGATTGCCATGATCCTCTCATCTTCAACTTCGGAGATTCTAACTCCGACACCGGCGGCTATTCCGTCGCTAACGGCATCTTTGGTGGCAACTCGCCGGTTGGTCGGAAGTTCTTTCATAGATATTCCGATCGTTTTTGCGACGGGCGCTTAGTCATCGATTTCCTCTGTAAGTCACATCATATCAATCTCCCTTTATTTTATTATGTAAAGGTTTAATTTACTTATAATATATTATATGTATATTCACAGGTGCAAATGTGAAGGCCGAACTATTGTCTTCATATCTGGAATCACTAACTCCAAATTTCAACAGTGGAGTTAATTTTGCTGTAGGTGGTGCAACTGTACTCCCTGTTAAATCAAATTCCTTCCATTTGAAAGTTGAAGTCGCTGAATTCCATCGTTTTCATGCCCGCTCTGTTATCTTCCACACCGAAGGTATTTTTTCAACTAACATATATACAATATAATATATTAAAATTTTTGTTTAATCAATATAATGATAGATATTAAAATGTAATTATAATAAAGCAGGTATTAAAGGCATGTTTGATGAAGATGATTTTCAAAATGCCCTATATATGATAGATATAGGGCAGAATGATCTTACGGGTGCCTTTTTAAACTCCTCCTCCTCCAAACTTGAAATCCTTCAACAAATACCAGACTTGATTACTGGTATCAAAGAGGCTGTTGAGGTATATATGTTCAATTTAAATTTTTTCTCTCTATTTGATTCTGATCTATATGTATTTGCCAATTCAATAAAATATGTATTGCAACAAATTAAACTATATAAATTTTGTATTTGTAGACTCTTTACAAAATTGGTGGCAGAAAATTTTGGGTGCATAACACCGGCCCAGCAGGATGTTTGCCAAATATGCTTGCAAGAACTAAAGTGGGAGATCCCCGTGGTGAGCGTGACGGGGTTGGTTGTCTGAAATCACTTAATGAAATTTCCCAGGAATTCAACACCCAACTCTACCATCTCTGTGAAGAATTGCGAACAGAACTGAAAAATACTGTGGTGGTGTATGTAGATATATACACCATCAAGTATGACCTTATATCCAACTCTGCCCTCTATGGTAATTTTTAATTTTAATCTCCTAATCTACACTCTACTTATTATATTATTATAATTAATGTTAATTTATTTTTTTGGGTGTTATTTAGGGTTTGAAAATCCGTTAATGGCATGTGTTGGGTGCGGTGGCCCACCTTACAATGCCGTAATGTGTGAGCAGACTACGGTGTGCGGAGAAGACACCAATTATATAAGTTGGGATGGAGTGCATTATACCGACAGAGCAAATGGTGTGTTTGCAGCCAGAATTGCGACCACCAACTACTCGACGCCTCCAATCAAGTTTGAGTCTTTCTGGTGTTGATGAGCCCGAATAATGGCTTTTGTTATTTTGATGTTTTAAATTGTTGTTTAATGTGACACTTTAAATGGCTTGAATTTTACTTCATCGAAATGCATGGATTGATGGATGTTAATTAAAGATTATTAATTACATATATATATATATATATATATATATATATATGCTGCAATTTGATATATATTAACTAACCCATGCATATATGCGTTTAGTATTTTAGATTTTTTGTTGTCCAAAGCTTCGATGTGTACGTAGTTGTTCTTCAGCTCAGGTTTTCCGGGCAGGCCAGTGGCGATCGAGTGGAAGAGAGGGCGGCGATTAGAGAAAGCTGATGAGTGTCCGGCGCGGCTAGCGAGCTGATCGAGATAGCAGCAAATTAAAGAATTTGTTATGTTTACCAAACAAATTAAAGTTAGGATTTGATGTAATGTATAGTAAATTTGGTATCAATTTTACCATATATGAGGATTTATTTTTACTTGCTAATAAATAGACTTACTATGAGTAAACTTTTTTTTTTTTTTTCGGAATATGAGTAAACTGTTTTACTATTGATTTCACTTGTGTCAAGTGTGCAATGGCAAGTGATTTACTATATTTCTATATATATATTTGATCTTATTGCATGTGTTTGACCCAAATAAAGTTATGAAGAGTAATAAATTTAATACACAGTATTTCACCCAAGATACTAAAAAGAAGGGGTGAGTCCTCTCTTGTGAGATCAAATCATCTCACAAATTCTTATATGTGAAACAAGTGAAGTTAATATAAAATGTAAAACTTATTTTGAAAAATATAATATTAATGAAAAATAAATTGTTTATTACTTATAATGGAAAGTGTAATTAATTCATCTCTTTTCTTGGTCTTAGGTGGGTGAGGAATTGAATTAGTAATGCCCATCTACTTGATATTGATGGACTAGATGCCTTGATTGAATAGAGTTGATTCTGATCTTTAAATTGATGTTTGTAGGTACGGTTTTACCAATAGGTATCCCCTAATAAAGCACAACTACTAGATATGTTTGTATAATTAATACAAGGTACATTTTTAATATATCAAAATTATATTATTTATGTATTGAATATACGTTATTTGATAGTATATAAAATAATGAACTTTTAGTGTTCAAATAATATATTTTATTAGTTAAGCTATAAGTATTCAATTTATCTCTAACATATGTAGTTAAGCTATTTTTTGTTTTTAGTTTATTACCCATTTCTAATGATACTATGACGATAGGCTACTATAACGTAACTCATAAAATTATTGAAACCATACGGTTATTAATATGAATTGGACTTTGGCGTACCACAAAATGTAAAACTTATTATTTTGAAAAATATAATACTAATGAAAAATAAATTATTTATTATTTATTAATTATTATTTATAATAAAAAAGTGTAATATTTTTTTTAAAAAATGTAATATTTTAAAATCAAAATATAATATTTAGGGGTTGAACATATATTTATGAGAAAAAATATAATAATAATTATGAATAAATTGATTGATTGTAACATATTAGAAAAAATGTGACACTGACAAATATAATATTTTTAAAGACGTAGTTTATTTCATCCATAGATTAATAACCTTAATCAAGTTGGTCAAATAATTAAGGTGGTAAACTTTAAGAAAGATTATGTCAGCCATTTGTTAATTGAAAAGCACAACAGTAACACTTAACCTGCATTGGCAAAGCACATGCACCACGTATGTTCGTAACAAGGTTTCGCAACGTTTTTTTTTTATAATTCTTTTCTAAATGGATCATACACATCATGATTTAAAAACTCAGGATTAAACTCATTTAATTTAGACATTGTTATCAAGACTATGTGGTCTAATGGTACCCAAGTTGGACTTTTATTTGGAAGGTTGTGAGTTTGAGCCTCAATGGAGGCGTTATTGGTTCTTTGTGTTTTAGTAGGTTGAGAAAGTATATGAACAGATACTACAATGTAATAGAGCCAGTAATATTCAAAAAAAAAATAAATTTAGACATCGTTCAATCAAAGACAATAATTTGGAGAAAAAACCCTAAAATTTTATTTGACATATTTCCAATATTTTATTTCCAATTTCCACATCTATCCCAAAAAACTCCGGATCGTTAAACATTTTTGCTTCCTCCGCCGCCCATTCAAAGAAGCAATCTCTTCCCATTTTTTTAACCGTCGAACAACACTCCCCCAAATTGCTTAGTAGCGGTTTAAACGGGTTGTAAGGTGCCTCATAACGAAACATATTAATTCCAGCTGGCCAGCACATATCATTAGGACGCGCAATGCTTGCACATGGATTAAATAATAGTGCCTCACTTTTTGTACCTCTTACATTTTCCTTATCAATTGTTGCATTCGAAAACCTTATCGTGTTATACGCTATTAACAGCGCTAATAAAAAATGTAATCTAAAATTCATCATTTAATTTGTTTCTCTGATCTATTTGTTTTAATTACCCCCCTTTCGATCTCTTTAATTTGCTTTTAAATACATACAGCTTGTGTTCCTTCATTAATGAGAACAAGCTAAGACGGTTTTATTAATAACCATTATTTTAAATGCATGTATGATTTTGATAATTCTATGACCCTACAGTTATAAAATAATAAATAACTTACATACATTAAAGATTATTATGTGATTTATTTTCTACTTGTACAATAAATGTATGTACTTGAAAATATTAACTTTTTAGCTAATATATTAAATTTAGGGAAAATGATACTTTTTCCCCCTATGTTATATACTTATAGCACTTTTTCCCCCTCAATTATTTATGTAAGCACATTAGCCCCCTCAATTATTTTAAAAGTGGTGGTTTTTCCCCCTAATATATTAAATTGACATTTCTACCCTTAAAGTAAACATTTTATTTATTTTACTTCTCCAACAAATTATTGCGTATATGTAGCGATTACCACGGTTCGGTTCGAACTGAACCAGACACTATAGCAATCGAATTAAAAGTTTTCAGTTATGATTCAGATCTAGAACCCAATATTTGGATTTCAATTTATTAAATTTAAGAATAAAAAAAAAAACTGGATCATGAACCGGCAGTTCCGGATCCCGTTCGCGATTTTGAACCGTCTTTATTTTAAAATTTTATTTTTTATTTTAAAATAGTTTAAATTCAACAATAAATGTATTTTATTTTTTCAGTTCGGAACATGAACCGGCCATTCCAGTTCGCGATTTTAATAAACTCTAAATATCGCGTTTTGATTATAAATTGTAATTGGAATACTTTGGTTTGGTTACTATAGTATCTGGTTTGAACCAAATTATAGTAATAATTTATTGGAGAATAAAAATAAATGAAATATTTATTTTAAGGGTAAATATGTCCATTTAACATTTCAGGGGGAAAAAGAACCACTTAAATAATTGAGGGGGAAAAAGTGCTATAAGTATATAACATAGGGGGAAAAAGTGCCATTTTCCCTTAAATTTATTTAGTTCAAAAAAGTATATTTATTTTTAGAAAAGATGGTTAAGTGAGTGGAATATAATTATAGTTTACCGAGTACATACATGTACACTCAAGGCATGGTTACAAGTTTTTATTGTCACAAAAAAAATACTATCTTCTCCTACTAATAATCAAGATCAAATGCTTACAACTATACTAAAGGGTAAATGGTGAAATTAATCGCTTAACATTACACTAAAATATATATAAATGTCAAGCTTGCTATGATATTAATGATTAAGATCAAATGTTTATTACTATGCTAAAAGTTCTACCAAAAACTTTATTTCAAAAAATTTGTGTCACATCCCTAGCATGTACAACAATGGTGTATAAACACTACTATTCCTTACTATGATTGGACTTAATTTTAAAAATACGAAATAGCTTAGGCTGGACTGTATATCCCAAGATACCGCGTCATTTGGAATAATATACTCATTTAGCCTATAAGAGATCTGGTCGTCTTCTCCACTGGAGAAGGCGGTCGTTCGGTCGTCTTTGTTAGGAACCTTGTATTAGGATTTTGATGATACCAATGTATTGTAGAAAAGTAGACCCCTAACTATTAGCTTTTTCAATCGCTGCTTTCGTCCTAGACGAGAGTTGCCATAACTCCTCTGTAATTCGTGTTAAGCTAGACAAACACACGAAAATGAGTTATGACTAGGTATTAGGGTCTCCAAGACGAAAGAAGACACAAGGCATGATGAACAACAACGAAAGTCAAGCAGGAGTTGTCAACTATCACGAAAGGACAGTTTTGTTAAAGACGATTCTTACCAAGCATTACTTCTCTTCAACAACGAGAAGAATGTTTCACCTGTCTGATTTGACAACATCCTAGGACGATAAGGACCTCATCTTATGGGACACTCTAATCAAGGAGCATTAAATGAAGATGTACCATCTCCTGGAGCTAAAGGACAAAACCCTAATGCTTTTCATACCTTCAAACGGCTACATGGTACAACCTCATTAATGGAGCATTTAATGCATGAAGCTCCCCGGTCCTTGTCCACTGGTTAAAAGGTTCGAAAATTTCATCTCCCTCCAACGGATGAATTTTCATCACCTATATAAACCCACCTTCATCAACTAAGAAGGTGCTGGTTCCTTTCACTCGACTCATTTACTTGCAAAAACTCTTGAACGCTCTCAAATCTCCAAAAGCTTTTGTGAACCAGTGTTAAGGTGTTAAGTTACTTGAAGAAGGTTATTGATCATTTTCTTACACCTTAAAAGAAGTCTTGATATTTGTTCGAAGCAATCATCTCTCACAGTCAAGACTTCATCGTTGGAGAAATCAAGAAATCATTTTCTACCAACCTCAACTCTGAAGAAGAAGTTGATAGAGGCGGAGTAAACTCGAGGAGTTGAAAAACCTACGAAGGCTGTCCGGCTTAGTGATCAAGGAAGTCTTTGTGTAATTGTACTAAAGAGTGATAGTGCAATCCTTCCATCAGTTGTGGAAGAAGAGTGGAGTAGGCAACGTTAGCCGAACCACTATAAAATCTCGTGTCCCTTCTATCTCTTTACTTACGCATTTTATCTCTGCATTCATATCATCCTCATTATCACCGTTACCGAAAGCTTTTCTTATACCATAATCTCGTGCAAAGCATTTA